GCGGGAACCAAACCCGGGACTCTCTGGTCCACAGGCCGACGCTCCAACTGCTGAGCCAAACTGGCCAGGGCCCGCCTGTTAATTAATTGCTGAACTACTTCGGCCCTGTTAATGTGGACCCTTCGGTGGCTAGGCAGTGATCCACACTCCTGGTGTTATCCCAGCACAGAGCCTACACACTGCTCTCCCCAGATGCTACATAAGCGCATCTACGTTTCCAAGAAAGCTCATCACAAGTTGATGACAAATTTGAAAAAAAGGCTCTCAATAAAATTACAGACATGACTCTCCCATTTGGGCTTTCCAAACATACTGTGTGGGTTTAAGAAACACCACATTTCCATGTTGCAAAGAAGTCTAAAAACAGTGTATTCTGGGAAGTCCGTAGCTACTTCCTGGGGTGGGGCTACATGAGGGTATGTAAGGGCCGAACCTTTGCAGAGGACTGTTGACACTTTGCTTAAGTATATAGAAACTGAAAACAAAAATAACCAAATATTCTAGAATTTTCCATTTATAATGGAAGTTTTTTTCCTCAAAATCAGGAAACATTACTTCATATTTTCTTTCTTTTTTTAAAATTGATTTTAGAGAGAGAGGATGAGAGAGGGAGAGAGAGAAACATCAATTAGCCAACATCCACTGGCCGCCTCCTGCATGCCCCCCACTGGGGATCGGGCCCACAACCTGGGCATGTGCCCTGACTGGGAATCAAACCAGCAACCTCTTGGTGGATGGGTCAACATTCAACCACTGAGCCACACCAGCCGGGACACATTTTCTTAAATATCTCTAAAACCAGCACACATTTCTTCCATTTAAAGAGGTGGAAACTGAGGCAAGAAAGCTCAGTCATTTTGCAAAAGCATCTATATTTCAAAAGCAATTAAGTCATGAGCCCAAACTAAATAAACTCTTCCATAACCTATTCTCATGAGAAAGGGGCTAGGAAAATTATTATTGTTTAACTGAAGAATAAATCATGTGAATTACTTCAATAATTGGTCCAAGAAGCAGCAGCAGATCAACTTGGACAGATGTTAAAATCCTTGTCCACAATTTCCCTTGAGATGACATGTATATGTCATAATTAACAGGTGTTCTTGATTTTGAGAAGAATAATATTCCTGTGCATCCCCGCTGGATAGCTACATGCTGCCATCTTCTGATTATGTCCAGTGGAGTATAAAATTTTTTTCATGAAAAAGCAAAATCAATAAAAGTAAAACTCCTCACTTTTCCTGCCAGTGATACCCCCAGTAACAAAAAGGGCAAAGACACCAACACAGAGATTACAACACTCAGACAGGATTCAAGCAGAATTCCAAAAGGATCAATGTGGGTTATAAACATTTTTTTTGCAAGTGCTTTGCATGCTTATGTTACTATTCATTCTGAGACAGATCATCAATAACCTTCTGGGTCACCGACTAGGGAGAAAGCTCACTATAAAAAAAGAGTGGGAGAAAAATAAAGGAGGGGTGTGCTTCCTTCCACCCCACGCCCCCCACTGCCTTGAATGAAAGAAGACAGATGGCAGCCACCTTCCCCTTTAATTAGGAGAGGCAGCTCAGAAGGGGACAGCCCTGCTCACTTGGCACGAACCTTAACAAGTCGTTTTGATGGTGATACTCTGCTCGCTCACCCTTGCTTCAAACTGCTCTCAATCTTTAATTTATAAACCAAATCTCTGTAAATTTAACTGTGAAAAACTGTAACTCTGAGTACAATGCGATGTGTAACAAAGGTACTTAAAGATGTTTGCTGAATTAACTCACATCCATTCATATAAGGAGCCTAGTGTTTCAAATGAAGTACTGACACCCCAAGTCCTAGCATCTCCGCTTTGAGATAAAATGTGAATTCTCATGGCACAGAGGCCCTCACTTAAATTCACACAGAATGAGGCACCAGGTTTACAAATAAGACCCCGAGTCTGCTTCCATTGCCACTCAGCAGTCATTGACTTCTTCTACCTTCAGGGTGTTACTGTGTAAGTCAAAAAAGTTCTACAGTAAGACAGTCCATTTTATGAAGAAGGATAACTTGATTGCAGATCATAAACCACTCGGTATTTCTATTTGCTTTGCATTCTCAAAACCACAGAAATTTTGTATTAAAAATGTGTCAAGCCATGCAACATCTGCGGGATCAGCATAAAGCACAAACACAAGTGGAAGGCAGGGACCAACTGTTAGGATTAGGCTGGAGTCACACAATCTTCTGTACAGGTGATGAAGACACTGAATTCTTTTCTAAAAGGTATTAAACCCATTTTCTGTGAATCTACAAGGCAGGAAACTTTCTAATATGAAGGAAAAGTTCAATTTCTGTTGACAAGGTTAGGTTCTTTATACGTTTCATCCCATTTCTATATTCAATGTTTTTTACAACACCACTGAACAATTTCTATTCCTCAGTTCCTTACCACTACCTGACCAATGTTTTCTTTTTTGTTGTTTTTCAGTTACAGTTTACATTCAGTGTTATTCTGTATGAGTTTCAGGTGTACAACACAGGGGTTAGGCAAAACCATACACTGTACAGAGTGTCCCCCAGATAATTCTAGTACCCACCTGACACCATACATAGTTATTACAATGTTATTGATTATATTCCCCATGCTGTACTTTACATCCCGTGACTATTTTGTAACTGCCAATCTGGTTTTCAAATTACAGCCTCTTGCCCAGGAGCTGTTCCCGCCTAGGACACAGGGACACCGTCACTGCATCTGCCCTGTACACGCACCCTCCCTGCTTCCCAGGGGGAGTGAGGGCAGTGGGGACACCGTCACTGCATCTGCCCTGTACACGCACCCTCCCTGCTTCCCAGGGGGAGTGAGGGCAGTGGGGACACCGTCACTGCATCTGCCCTGTACACGCACCCTCCCTGCTTCCCAGGGGGAGTGAGGGCAGTGGGGACACCGTCACTGCATCTGCCCTGTACACGCACACCCTCCCTGCTTCCCAGAGGGAGTGAGGGCAGTGAAAGGGGCTGTCTTGCCGGATGTGCTCCTGGCATGTAAAAAACCTTGTCGGTGTCATTGCATTTAATTAATGACGAAGTGCTTGAACCATTAAAAAAAAAAAAAAAAAGAACTTTTGTTTTCTCATTGATAAAACATTTCAGTCTCTTGCTCTCTCTAACAAGCCAGCCAGCATGCTAGATATTGGAAGACAGAAAAGATCAAAGAAGCAATTAACTATTTCACAAACTTTATATCCTCCTTCCCAGTGCAGGGGAAAACACTTGGCATTTGTCAGATACTGGCTGTCCAATAATGTCAGCAAGAAAAAACACGTAGGAGAAGAGTGACTAAGAAAGAAACAAACAAAACTCACTTTGTTTTCCAGCACAGTAAGCAAGTCGGGTGACTCCTTCAAGGCCCTGCCCTCACTTTAGGTCCGGGTCTGCTGTGGACTCCCGAACGCCTGCCCTTCCCACGACGCCCCAAGTTCACAGTTCATCTCAGCAGCTCCGGGCACCAGGGATCCCCAGGACGGACGGAGGCGACCTCTGGGCGCCACGTGGCACGACTGCTGTTGTTACCACACACGGCCGGGACACCCACTTGTTACCTCAGGAACCAGGCCACCAGCAGCTCACTGCCCAGATGAGTGTCCAGAGACTCGAGCCTCTGGCGTTCTCAGGTTCAGGGTTGGAAAGTGTATTAAGACGAGAACCACGCTGTCAGCAGTATTCTGCACCATTAACTCCCTCGTCCTTAAACGCACATTTAAATAAGAGCAAAAGGTACACGATTAGAAGGGATGTTTTACTGGTGACTGTGATTGGCATTTGCCATGTAATGGGTCCTAGCTTGCTCCCTAGAACTGCATTTAAGATCAGCAGTATTTTCATTCCTCTGTGAAAACTCAAGATTTTTTTGAGAAAATCAATGAAAACAAAAAAGGAAAACACTAGAATTCTGCTTAAAAATGTAACCCTTACTAAATCTCATCTGGTGAATTTTTTTTTTTTAAATCCAAAAAGTAAACAAAACAAAACCCCTCCAAAAGAACACACACCACATATAAATTGGATGCTTGTTTTGAAAAAACTTCATCCATGTACTGTCCAGATCATAAAAACAAACCTCCTTCCAGCAAAACGGGACACTTTGACCTTGTTTACTGCAGTGTTTTGAAACCGCTGCCTTGTAACTCCTGACATCACTGGTCATGCATTAGCACCTTTACTGCTGTTGGCTGCGACCCCGCCTGTCTTGAGTGGCCCCCGGTTGAACAAATACGCCACAGAATGGCAAGGAAACTGGCATTAGCATTAAGCCCACGGAACTCACATGACAGCTTCTGTAAGTGTCACACATCTCTGGTCACTTTTACAAGGAAACAAAAGCATCAAACATGTGACCTTTTTAAAAGTCTCAGTGTCCAGACCCAGGACAGACCACTCTTTCTTCTGACCCTCTCCCTGCCCAGAGAAAAGGCTCCCTCTCTCACCCATCGCCACGTTGGCAAGAATCTCTGCCTCGGAGACTGACTAGTAGGAACTCCTGACCTACTTTCTCCCAATATAAAATGCCCGCAAACTTTCCTAGAGGATCATTTATTTCAGAGTATTGTTTAGTTTCAAGGAGTACTGAATTTTGAATTTTGATAAAGTTAGACTTATCCTTTCCCCCCACTTTGGTGGAACATGCTTGCGGTGTTGTACCTGAGTGTTGCATTTTTTAAGAAGTAATTTTCTCCTGTAAGTCTGACAGATTTCCCGCCTGTGTTCATTCCTCAGTTCTTATTCCAAATATATCAGAATCAATGCAAAGGACAGTTAAAACAACTGGAGTTAAGTCACCGTGAAATTTGGGGGAACATCCTCCATAATCTACCTCTTTATGTAAAACTAAATTCTGGTCCTCCAATGGAAGTGCAATTTTATAGAGAAGTAACTAAAAATCCAAGTATAAACTATGTGGAATCAATTGATAACATTCTTGTTCCTTTCCTAAAGCAACTTAAAAAACACCAACTCCTTTAACTACAGTCACCAAAAAATAAAGAATGTGAAATACATATTTGAGCAATGATGGCCCTTCTTTGTCACAGAGGAGTAAAAAGAAAAACATCCAGAGTTAATAAAATTAATTAACTCTAACTAAGAACTACTAAAAAGACCCTCCAAACATCATGCCGTTACTATGACAACTTGAAAACTGCTTTGAGAAAACGTGAGGGATTTTAAGATCCATGACAAAACAAGTGTCATCCAGCCTGCTAGAAATTACTTTAATTTATAGGAGGCCACAGAAAGGCTAAAAGGCCATTAACAATTCTGAAATATCAAATCGTTACCTTTTGAGAGATGCTGTACTCTTCCTTCAGATCATGAAAGACTAACACGTAAATGAACAGTTCTCTGTGTGATCGGAACCATTTTGATGATTTCAGTCCTGCAAACCATACCACTCCCACGGTCTATCTCGCTGGTACATTATTTTTATAATGAAAGCAAACTGTGACTCAATCTGAAAGGGAAGGGACACAAAAATCCCCAACAGTCTCGTGTTTCCAACTACAAACAGGGAAGCTCATACTCACACAAATTTTTTAGGCATCAAGAATGAAACAGAAAAAGAAAACAGCATTTTCCCCTTAAAATTCCTGTTGTTAGGTATTTAGACTGACTTACATTTTACATAATCTTGATGGCTCAATCAGGAAGTAAAAATTTTAAGTGCGTGTATTGTGGACGGGAGGAATCATGTGACCCACAGCAAAGAGAATTATGCAGCAGACTAGCACACGAAGAAAAACTTAACAGGGGTTTAAAAAATACTGTCTTTGAGATTCATTGAGCCATGAATATATTATGGCTTTTAAGAAAAAATCATGTATTTGGAAGCTTTGAAAATAAGCCTTCAGGACGTTTTAAAAAAATATTACGAGATCAAAGCAATGCACAGTGAGAAATGAAAGTTTAATAAAGGAACATTTTCTCTGACGATCATATCCTTTCAGAGTTTATTTAAAAGCCATTTTTCAATGTTATTTGAAGATCAGGCCATATATTAAGTATAATCAAACAAAAACATCGGCTGTAGCTATGTACAAATACTTATGCTTTATTTAATGTGTAGGGCTGAGTGTTCCCAGAGCAAAGAAGAAAACGGTTTCGATTTATCCAGACTCCACGCAAGCTCCCCAGATATCAAGTGGTCACTGTATTTTATTACAGCAAATACATTCTCAAGAGGGAAACATCAGTGCCACACAATGTTCATCTGAGGCATGTAAGCCTGCAACAGGGCCATCATTAAACAGTATCTTAATGATCCTTGTGCATTATATACGTTATGCCACAGAAAAAAAATCAGAAAGTGGGAGATGAATGTTAAACACTTAAACAAAGTATAATGAATTGACTGATAGGTGATTTGATTGTACAGAAGCGCCTTAAGACATAGTCTCTGAGCTACAGAGGATGTTGATATAAATGTATTTGAAATTCAAAAGGTTTGGCCTGTGGCTGCTTTGCTTCTCAAAGCCATTTCCATTATTAATATGTTAACAAATAATAATTTACTAACACCAGTACTAAATGACAATGGTGAGAGCAGGTATTTACGTCTCAAGGCTATTGCTTTTATTATTTTGGTACCTCACATCTTTCAAAATGCTTTTCCTATTTTTATTTCAACCTTTCAAAAAAAATGTATACCACAGCTCTGGGCAAGGGGCAAGGCAAGGTCAGGGACAGGAATCAGTTCTGGGTATTTCTTGATTACTAGCCCATCTTTCTTTAGTTCTGAAACACAAGAGGTAGCTGAGCAAAAGAAGAAATTATTAGGAAAGACAGAAGTCTTTCAGAAGAAAAACTTGAGGTAGATTGAGAACTTTCAGCCCTGGCCGGTTTGGCTCAGCGGTTAGAGCGTCGGCCTGCGGTCCCGAGAGACCCGGGTTCGGTTCCCGCTAAGGGCACGTACCTCGGTTGCAGTTTGTCCCCGGCCCTGGTTGGTCGTGCGGGTGGCAGCCACTCGATGTGTCCCTTTCACGGCGATGTTTCTCTCTCTCTTCCTCTCTCTCCCTCCCACTCTACCTTTCCAAAAAAAAGGAAAAAATGTCCTCGGGTGAGGATACAAAAAAAAAAAAAGAACATTCAGGAAAGGTAAGAAGCACAAATCCTCCAAGGTACAGCATTAAATAACACCGTAGTCACCTTACCCAACTCGGTGTCATACTCGTTAACTACGTTAGGGAAAGATGAACTAGTTACCAAGAAGGATCCCCCAGCACAGTCAGGCACAGTCTTGCTCTGCCACTGGCCTAGGCCATACTTTATTGAGAACAAATCTCAGAGTAGCCACCTCAAACTCCCTAATTCCATCAATCAGGAAATGAGAGAGGTTGAGAGACTTTCCTATGTTATATAGATAGTCAGCTAACAGCTGGAACTGGACCCAAGGTTTCTGACCTTCCGAGAAAAGGGCTCTTTTTCACTACACACTCCTTATATCTATAATCTCAGGTTCAAGTAAACCAACAAGCAAAGCCCTGGTTGCTTATCTCAGTCATGGATAACCGAAATAGGGTCAAGACGTAGGGGCTCACTCTGCACCACCCTTATTGTTATGGCTGCTCTCTCTGTCCCCACCAGCCTGTGATGAGCATCCACTGTCCTGAGCTGAGAAGAGGCAGGGCGAGTCCTGGGCTGAAGCGCAGAGCCTCTGAGCTGGTGCCGGTCCCTCTTCCCGGCTCCTCCCTTCCACAGGTGTATCACAGCCTTCTCAGTTTTTACAGTGGGAGAGTCCAGGCACCAAAATAAGAAAAGCACCTGTTTCCGTTTTGTATCATGGCTTTATTGGGACTTTGGACAAACACGAAAACCAAATAATATTCTAGAAAAAAAAATTAGCTCCTACTCTATCTTCACCAAAATTAACTGTGTGGAGATTCAAGAGTTAAATGTAAGTGCGGGGGGGGGGGGGGGGACTAGAAAAAAACAGTTATGAACTTAAGATAGGAAAGGAAGCCTTAGCTTTATAAAAGTAATTTAAAAAGTAACAAGAAGCCACGATAATCTGAATCAATCTGATTACATTAAAAGGTACAATCCCTGTATGTCCGAAAGCAGCAGACAAAACTGGAAGGTAAACAAAAAATAAAATACTTCAACAGGATAATATACTTTATATGATTTATAGTTGTAAAAGATAAATGATACCAACAGACTAGACTCTCCACCCCAAAATATAAAAGGCCAATTAACATGAAAAGGGGTGTTGAATTTCACTAGCAAACACCAAGATTTTTTTTCACCAATCAAATTCACTAAGATGGATAACAAAACGAATAAAGCTAGGTTGTGGGTTCAGTGCCAGGTCGAGGTGCATACAGGAGGCAACTGATCCATGTTTCTCTCTCACATCAACGTTTCCCTCTCTTTCTCTCTCTCTCTTCTAAAAATTAATACACATATCCATGGGTGAGGATTTAAAAAAAAGGAGTAAAGCTAGTGAAGTGAGGTGAGACAATCATTTCAGGAACTCTGCAATACCTTTTTAATAAGCCTTCAAACTGTTTTGACTCATAACATGTCTATAAATATCTCCGAAAGAAACAATAACAGATACACAGGAAGCCAACTGTACAAGGACATCCTTAAGTAACATAATATTGGGAACTATTTAAACATCCAAAAGTGGAGGGGAGCGTGTGAGTATAAATTATAATAAACTCATAAGTTTAAATAATGTGTTTTGGGAGACTATTTAATGACACTGCAAATCACGAAATATAATGTTAGGTGAAATGTTGCCAGATAAAGGAGGTTGGGGGGGGGGGAACAACCATGGGGTAAGAGAAGCTGACCTCAGAAGGAGGCTGGAAAAGAATACATTTTAAAAGCTTAAGGAGGGGCAGGCAGACAGAGAATTTAGATTTTTCAATATTTCTTTATAATACTGAGGTATCTGATAATCTCTATGAGAAACATGATTTTTATCATTGGAAAAATGTTACTAAAGCTAATGTATATCCTATAACTATTTCTCAGTCATACAAAATAACTAAAATATTTACAAAGCCCTTTTAATCAAGAGAATGGTTATATTTTATTATTAGGTGCAAGAAAGAAGTACAAAACAATATGACCTTAAAGATATAAAAACTCACATTAAAAAGACCGGAAGGATATGCAGCAAGGTGTTCATAGTGGTTTCCTTTAGGTAATATTGTTGTCTGTAATATTTTTGCTATACTTTAGAAGTTTTCTATGATTGTCCTATGTTGTTTTCATGAGAAAGAATAAATATTAGTATCACAATTTTAGGACTCATACAATCAAGAATATGCTATTATTAATAGTTAAATGTCAAAATACAGAATGTCTACAGCCACACAATTCTGCCCGAGTATGAAGGGATTTTTGTTTTTAGAAACCACTGGTATGGCTTCAGCAGCCAGCAGGCATTGGTGGGTGTGTAGGAGGTGGGAACAAATCATATCTGGTGGCTGTCAAACCGCTCTGTCCATGGAGCGGCTCTGTGAGGGTCACACTGACACATGAAGATTTCCACAGCAGGACATTATTAGGAAAAGGATGAAGACGGTGGAGAAGGGAGGGGTAAATAAGCAGTCAAAAGAAGAAGGCAGGAGTCTGTGAAAACAACAGAAGCATCCAGAGAGAAGGTTCAAGGAATCATCAGACCTAAAACAATTAAAAGAAGGGTCTAAAGAGACATTTGCGTACCTGTGCTCACTGCAGCCTTATTCACAACAGCCAAAAACAGGAAGCAACCCAGCGCCCATCACTGGATGATGGCTAAACAAATGTAATCTATAAATACAGTGTCATGATCAACCTTGGGAAAGGTGACAGCAACCTGAAGCACTCCATTCTGAGTGCTGGATTTTTGAGCACTGGGTGGATAAAAATAAGTTACAAATAAATGTCTCAGAGATGTTTTTCCTCTTATGTGCACTGTCACAAACATAGTTCAAATGTCACTACTTCCTTTTAAATGCCCCATTGGAAGGAAAGTTAAACCCTTGAATTGCTCCCTCCCCCTACCCCCCCCCCCCCAACTTCTAAGATTATAACCTGTTAAAAGTTAATAATAAAAGGAAATGATGCTGCCCTGGCCATTCTGGCTCAGCGGAGCATCGGCCTGAGGCTTGAGGATTCCATTCCTGGTCAAGGGCACATTCCTGGATTGCAGGTTCAATCCCCGGCCCTGGTCAGGGTGGTGCAGGAGGCAACCAATCGACAGGTCTCTCTCACATCAATGTTTCTTTCTCTCTCTCTCTCCCTCCCACCCTCCCGCCCTTCCATTCTATCTAAAAATCAATGGAAAATATCCTAGGGTGAGGATTAACAAATAAAAAAGGGGAGATGCTGAAAAAATTACAATGCCATGTTATTCAGCCATAAAAACGAAGAAAATTCTGACATATGCTACAACATGGCCATGATGCTGAGTGAAATAAGCCAGACAGAAAAAGACAAATACTGTATGAGTCTGCCACTGATGTGAGGTCAGTGAAATTCATAGAGCTAGAAAGTAGAATTGTGGTTACAGAGGCTGGGGAGAGGGGAATAGGGAATTCGTGTTCAATGGGTATGGAGTTTCAGTTCTGCAAGACCAAAGAGTTCTGGAGCTGAACAATGGCTGTGGCTGGCTCCTTGACAATGTGAATGATGTGACTACTTAATGCCACTGAGCCACACACCTGAAATGGTTAAAACGGTAAATTTCATGCTGTATGTACTTAACCACAGTTAAAAAATTCATACACACACACACACACACACACACACACTGGATATACTGAAATAAATGAAGGAAGGAAGGAGGAAAAGAAGGAGAGAAGGCAGGCAGGAAGTAAGGAAATGAGAAGTCCTGAAGAAGGCTTCTGATTTGGCACGAGAGAAAGTTTAAAGAATGTTGAGGGTGCAGGCATCAAAATAAAACACCTTCTTTCTGATACTAGATTCTTTAAATGTACTTATAGAAGTCATCTCAGAAAGACAAACAATCAGAAGTGAAAATAAGGCGGCACATTATGTTTAACTTGAAGAGAACATACCAGACCTCTTTCTGGTTTTTTGAGACCTTCTCATTATAGCCAGTCTGAAAAATTCCCCACAACTAGGAAAGAACCTGCAAGTCCAAGCAAATGATGACGTTTTCTCAGCAGCTAACAGGAAAAAACCATAACGATGAGGGAAAGAAACCTTGAGTGTCCTAAAAATTTACTGTATCCTTATTACACACTATTATCACAGAATCGAATAATTTGGGGGCTGGACCAAGGCCCTTAACAGAGGTGATCCGAGGAGAGCGCTTGCCCGGGCTCACTCAGGAATGCGGGATTTAAAGACGACCCCCTGGAGCAGTTATATTTTGTTTGCTATGTCATATTTTTGTATGGGCAGCTTCTTTTTTAAATGGATAAGAAGCATAACATAATTGGAATGTTCTTTCTACAAGTCATTTGATTATTTCTGTTCAAAAAGTATTTATTGAGGACACAGTACATACTATATTCTAGGCACTGAATGGTGGACAGGATGATGTTATCCTCCCTCACCAAACCAGCAGTTACAATTTGAAGGAGGCACAGGATAGGTTAAAGATGGGAACCTGTAAGAAGTAACATTTTTAATGATAATGCTAGTTGTTATCATTGTAGCAAGCTTGACTGACTACTACTAAGGGTCAGACAGAGTTTTAAGCACTTCCCATGCACAAAATTAATTTTCACTACCCTCTTATAAAGTAGAAATTTAAAGATGAGAACACTGAAGCACAGAGAGGCCACACAGCTCTTACATGGTGGAGTCAGAACAGACAGCACCCCTGTTCAGAATCTGCTTTGAAAGGAACCCAAACTAAGACAAGACAGGGATGAAATGTAGGGATCAGAATTTAGCAAAGAGTTGAGCTACTCTGAATAAGAAAAGGGGGAAGTAAATAGAAGCACTACAGGTGTTGAGAGCCTGGGGCTGGGGCACATGACCAGGTCAACAGGTGAGTGGGGAAGGATGGAAGAGATGGGAGGACGAGAAGCCCACGCTCAGGAACTTGGGAGAGCAGAAGTGATCGATGTCCAGCTGAGATTTCCATCAAGTTCTGCTGTGCGTGTGGGAAACAACTCTCATCTCCATCTCCCCGTGAACTCTAGTGCTTTGACAACTGGTTTCTACACAGGGTGAGAACACATACTCTGAAGAGGCCCAGTCAGTTTCGGCACAGGATATTATAGAAATGGGTAAGAATTTAAGTGGAGAAGTGACATGACGAGGATGCTTTCAGAAGCATCACCAGGCAAGAGAGTAAACTGGGGAAGACCTTGTCAAATGTGTGTCGTCCTTATGTGAAAGCCACATGTCAATAGTCCGTGCATCTGTGGCATTTACTGAACACTTAACCACAGGAGCACAACAAAGACAAGTGCTTCACATGGAATAGGATGGCCATCTTGTGGCAATGGGTAGAGACCTGGCTTGTCTGTGTAACCAAAATATCACATTTCAAACTGGGATGACATCATTAACAGCGCATTAACAGCCTTCAAGTTTGCTCAGAGCTGGATTTTGCTTTCGGGTTGTCCTTAACCCTGCTAACTGTGCACACAGGGGAACAGCGAGGGTCAAACACTTCCCTCCGTCCAAAGCCCTGCGGGGAGCGCCAGAGGGAAGGAGGGCTGCTACGGTCAATTCACCCAGACTGGGCTCTGGTTCCTGCTCTGGCCAGGAAATTGCTGGAGAAAGCAAAACCAGGGCCAGGAGCTGAGCACAACCCTGCAAGTCCAAACACAGGCGAGGGAAGGTGGTATTTCAAATGAGTGGATGTTGTGTTTTCTTTGAGCTAAGTGAGCAAAGTCAGAGGAAGATGTGAGCTTAAAGAATCTCTCTTCTTATAAAGTCTTTTGATAGAGACAACACAACCTCTAGTAAATAATATGAAGCACGTCCTGTATTTTCAGGGCATACACCTCCCATGGAGCTCGAAAGAAAAACCTCTGATGCTACAAACTCTTGGAAGAGAACGGGAAGTAACAGGAATAGCTGACCAATTCCACCAACTGGGGTGTCTCCTACGAGGAGCTGAATCATAGGATAGTATAACATACTTTTGCTTTTTAGTTTCTTCTTTATTTAAAAAAAATGTCCCTTTTTTGTATGATTTTGTTATAAAAGTGACATAAGACTCACTACTGGCCAACAACTACAGCGTACTCACCACGACCCAGGCACGGCTCTGACCTCGCCTCCTCTGCACCTGCGCCGGCGCTCGGAGTCTTGGGGTCGCAGGAGCACACGGCTCGGCCTGGGCTGCGGGCACCAGAGAGCTGGACTCGCGAGGCGGGCAGGTCAGCGCCCGCCCTGCGCTCGACCACTCCGCTGCGCTGTGCCGCGAAAGCGGAAGGTGCCCAGAGGACATGACCGCATGCGTTCCACCCCCCAGGAGAATAATTCTGGTGTGTTTCACCCTTCACTTATATAATTAGAAAAAAAAGAACACTTTTAAATAATTTTTTTACTACATTCGAGTAAAACTATTCACGAAAACCTTTCCAAGCAGAGATTCTACTCACAGACAAGATCCATTTGAAGTCAGCAGTCTGTGTTTGTATACAATATGCAAAAGTTATTAAAACGATTAAACGATTTGTATTCATGAACTTCTTTACATTGTGAACATTTTCCTTCTTCAGAGTAATATTTTTTGGCTGACCCACAATTATAACGAGTTCCAAATCAGTCATTTTGAATCCATGCATATCCAAATTTTCAAACAAGAAAACGGAGCCCGTATGCTTGGTTCTCTCTGAAGCTGCCTGCAGGCTCGGGCTGGCTCTGGCAGATCTGATGGCACACTTCTGTGCAGTAAGAACAGTGGCGCTAACGTGGGAATGCTGGAACTTTTCTGGCGGTCTCAGCCGAGCTAGCTTTATAAAACAAGCATAAAATGACCCCCACGCACTCTGTCGTGATCTTTGACGCAAATGTTCCATGATATAGAAGTGCAAGCCTGCCAGTCACTGGAAGCTTATTAAGGCTGACCGGCGTGAACTGTCATTTCCGAGACCAAGTGCATGCCACATGTGGCCTGTACAAACATTCCTTAGGTCCCTCTGAAACAGACTCACATGTATATGGAAAACTGGTTTTCAACAAAGGCGCTAAAGCAATTCAACGATGAAAGACAAGTCTTTTCAACAAATCATGGTAGAAACCACTGGGAAAACATAGGCAAAAACATGAACCTTGACCTGTACCTTACCCAATGCACAAAAATTAATTTGAGATGGATTATAGACCGAAGCATAAAAGCTAAAACTGTAAGGGTTCTAAAAGAAAACACAGGAAAATATTTTCACAGCCTTGGAGAGGCAGATTACTTAGGAGACAATAAGTACTGATAATATAGGGAGGAAATTTGATTAATTAAACTTACTTCAAAATTAAAACCTCTGCTCATGAAAACACATGTTTTTGTTGTGGTTGTTAATCCTCACCTGAGGATATTTTTCCACTGATTTTTAGATAAAGTGGAAGGGAGGGAGGGAGAAAGAGAGAAAGAGAATCATCCATGTGAGAGACACACATTGACTGGTTGCCTCTCGGGCTGACACTCTAACCGATCAGCCAAACAGGTCAGAGCATGAAAACACCGTTTAAGAAAATAAAAGGTAAGCCATGGACTAAGAGAATATATTTACATTACAAATGTCTAACAAAAAGAATTTTGTCCAGAATATATATACATATAGTCTACCAATCAATAAGACAAACAAAGCAATTTTAAAAATGTCAGAAGAAAGTTAAAAATGGACAAAAGATTACACAGATACTTCAAAAAGGAAGATACAAATGGCCAATAGGAACATGTTAGTCATCAAGGAAATGCAAATTACAGAGCACACTGAGAGACCACTTCATATTCATCATCAATGGCTGAAATGAGAAAAACCAACAACATAAAATGTGAGAAGGAACTAGAGCACCTGGGACTCGCACCCCCCACTGGCTGG